ACTGCTTAACTAGAATCTATCCTGTCCTGTACCACTGTCTGATGCATTGCTCAGCTTGTTCGCTCACAATTTGAGATTGGCACGTCGTGGCCAGAATTCGTCCAATTAAAGTCTCTTGGCTAAGGGCTTATCGACATTAAGTCATTAAGGTGAGCTAAGAAGTGAAAGTGGGATTTCGAATCTCTTTAGGGTTGCCGATGCCACCTTGGACGAAGTTAAAAATGCTGTCAAACGTGGGAGGGAAGACCTTTCCACAGGCAATGATAAGTTAAATTTCGTGGCATCGCGAGGCCTAATCATGTCATCATGGGAAATACTCTACTATTGGGCCATGAATCAAATTAAGCGTCATAGGGCTACTCAGCTTTGATTCAAGAATAACCGATAGTTTCGAAATCCTACTCATACGAAATGCAAAGAACTTTTGCCACTACTAGTAGTTATGATATTCACCAATCACATTACAGACGCTCTCAGAGCTGGACGATATTCTCATACACATGCTCAATGTTTGCATCATAAACTCATCTAAATTGAGTCAGTTGAAAGTCGTTTCGTGCGTGGGGGAGGGATTCACTCTCATATCTGAATGTTCTTGATCAACTGCTAACTTGAATACAGCGTCTGATACAACTATAAGATTTAAACAGCAGGCAGTAAGAAGATGAAGACATGAAGACCAAGATGATGTGACCTCTGGTATAGTCGCAGTCTCCTTTCGATTTATAGAAGTGGTTCGACCTCGTTGTCGCAACTTGGTCTTGTTGTCAGGGCGACTTAGTAGAACGCACGTAGTCCGAAGTCGTCTGCCATAGTAGTTGTCATGATTCCCAGCATCAGACAGTGAACTTGGTACATTCTCAAACGTTTCGCTGGCACCATAGTCGGCATCATCAGTGAGTTTTGCCATTCGCGGTACCAAGCTACGAACTCGTCAAAGAGACGAGTCTCTTTGGCTTAAAATAGCGTCGAGATATACCAGTCAGACTTTATTCGTGCTAGACTTACGCTAACTTTGGAAATTATAAATAGAAGAGTAGACTTTACATTTCAATTCATCCAGCATCCCCAAGACCAATCCCATTCCTGCTCTATTGCAGTTCCGTTCTCATGTCATCGAGTCTCTTTGACGAGTTCGTAGCTTGGTTCGGAGAATGGCAAACCTCACTGATGATGCCAACTACGATGCCGGCGAAATGTTTGAGAATGTACCAAGTCCACTGTCTGATGCTGAGAATCATGACAACTACTATGGCAGACGACTTCGGCTAGGTGTTTTCTACGAAGTCACGCTGACAACAAGACCAAGTGAGAAGATGCTTTACTTGCAGGCGCTATTCAAATTGAGGAGTGGTTTTGGCACAAATATACAATTTTCTAAAAGAAATTTCACAGGTTTATGGGAATGCAAATGCTCAACTTAATAAAGCAGAGATTGATGACAAAAGATGGTGCCACTTAGTAGTAATCCATTCGTTTATGGCTCTTAACGTCACATCTTTTCGGCATGAAAGTACAGTTTTGGCTACATAACCAAATTAAATTTAGCGGAGATATTAAGCCTTTTATCTCGCTATTGTCGAATACGCTGAATATTAAAATAAATTTTAAACCCCTATTTGTGTAACAACTGCCTCCAAATTCTGATTGATGTTACCAAATGGACTATTAAAAGAGATATTTAGACCAAGATGGTGTGGCTTTTTGTGTGGTCGTAGTCTCCTTTCGTTGTATAACCTATTACAGAAGGAGAGATACCACAACTATTTACATACATTTGGTCAAAGAATCGACCTCACTTGTCTCTCTGTTGTAGAGTAAATACGAACAAAAACTGGGTTTCAATAAATCTCTTCAGATACCATTATTAGAGGGACTTTCATTTCGTATGAAAGAAGAATGACACCCAGCTCTGATGATGTCCATCATATGATGGACGAAAGCTCAGCACGTTTTCACCCGAAACGAGGGGGGAATCGTCGACTGCGTCAACATGAATATCGTATAAAAGCTAAACGGCTGCAGTACAAGGAGATTTATCCGTCCCCATCTGGTGAGATCGACCAACGAATCTCTTCTTCATGCACTTTAATACGAAATGAAAGTCCCCTAACACAGTTGCAGTGTATTGCTAAGAAGGGCAAGACTTACTGACGATGCCGGCGAAACGTCTGGGAATGTACAACGTTCAGGGTCCGACTTTGGAAATTATTAGGCATACAAGTGTATCCGGACTCTGTGCGTTCTTCTAAGTCTTCCTACCAATATGACCAAGTCGTAAAAACAAGGTCAAACAACTTCTATTAAAAGAGAGTTGACCTCGTTATCTCAACTTGGTCTTATGTTTTCGCACTGGAAACGAGATAGATTGGTATAAGGCCAAACGCTTGCCTGGATATTGAGACTATATCAGTAAACGGAAAATTAAGGAATTTATAGAAATCAACAAAGGAGCCAGCACCATGAATAGAAGATACGAGTGTGGGAACTTAAGTGGAAACTACCTGTGGCCGTTGGATAGGCTTAAAGAAGGAGAGAGAGAGAGGTTGGTGGTGGTGGTGGTGGTGGAGGGGAAACAAGAAGTATCGCCGAGAAAGAGGAGACTGGATCAGCCTCAAAGTTAATTTTCATTTTTGAGTCACAATCGTCTCATTAGCATTGCATGCACACAACAGACATGCAATGGAACGCAATCACATGTGATACCACTGCGGGATCAAACAAAAAAGTTAAGTGTTTTAGGGGAGGATGCAGCTGTTCTGTCACAATTGTATCCATTTCACGCTTCAATTGCAGTTACTTCGTATTCCGTCTTCCGCCACTTAAAGTTTCAACAGAATGTAGGAAAAGCATGTGATCTTCAAC